GTAGTGCAGATGTGTGACTGCAGATTCACTAGGGGAAGACTTGATCACTAGGGTCCCGGGAGGGCCGTGGGGACAGGAGTAGTCTTGGCAGCTGAGCAGAGAATATGGCTGTGGTCAAGCTGGTATGTGAACGAGAGGAGCATCGAAGCAGCAGTGCTGCAGAGAAGGGGAGCTGGGTGCTTGGCTGCCCTCCCCTCCCAAAACCCTGCAGGATTCAGCGGGCACTGAAGGAAGGATTCCTAGTGGAATCTGAGCTGCATTCCTGTGGGTTGGAATCTGGGGAAGGAAACTCTAACCTAACTAACTTCGGTTACTGGAAGATCAAAGCGTTTGTGGCATGCTTCTGAAAGGGCTTTAGCTTCTGGGAAAATGGAGCCTCTTAAATATCAGCAAATCTCTGTGTGAGCAGACTATGGTGACCGCAGGCTCCAAGCAGGGAGAGGCAGTAGATGACCTGAACGGCTCCTTCAGACCCCACGCTTCTGTTTGTTTTGATCCAAGCTGCAGAATTTCCAAGCTGTGTATCATGAGAGCCTCAGAAAGAATGTTTTCTGTCATTTCCCCCCAAGCCAGAAATAACTCCCTTTCCTTGGAAACGCACATTTTTCCTTCCAGTGTCTCCACGAAGGGAGAAGACTAAGGGCCAGGAAGGAGGCTCTGGGCCATCTGTTGGGATTTATTTCTTCTGATCTGGGCAAAGGAATTTTTACCAAGTGGAGAAAATGGTGACAGATTTAGGCACCCTATGCCACCTCCCTTAGCCCCTTCAAAACCTTCTATTTCTTGTCTTGACGCCTTAAAGATACAAAATAATTCTTGTCACCAAAATAGGCAGTTAAGTTCAACAAAGATTTGCCAAATGCCAGCTGCACCCAGCCTTGTGTTGGGAGTGGAGTACTAAAGTTAGAAGTGGTCCTTATCCTCAAGGGTCTAAAAGCCTAATGGATATATTTAGTTTTTGTTTTCATCTGCGTGCGTGCGTGCGTGCGTGTGTGTGTGTGTGTGTGTGTGTGTGTGTGTGTGTGTGTTATCTGAGTACTCGTGGATGTGTATGTTCATGTGCCTGTGTGCATGCGGAAGCCAGAAGATGTCAGATGTCTGTCTCTCACTCTCCATTTTAATGCTTTGTGGCTAAGTCTCTCACTAAAACTGGAGCAAGCTGGCAGACTGCAAACCTCAGGGAGATCTTCCTGCTCCAACTCCCTGCAACTCTGGGGTTTTGCGTACTTACTGCCACATTCCTGGCACATGAGTTCTGGGGATTTGAATTTAGGTTCCCCTGCTTGCCTAGCAAGTACCTCTTACCTACTGACATATGTTCCTAGCCCAGGAAGGATTTATACATTCCTGTTATAACCTGGAGTAATTTTTGTTTCTTAATTTCCTTTAGCATCCTAGTTTGCTGCTGCTTCCCTTAGTGCAGATAGTTATAGAGCTGGAACAAGATGATGTAAACCCCTCCTGGAAAGTCTTGGTTGCACTTGAATATGTATGTGCCTTGGAAATGTGATTAAGGGGAGCGTGAAGATTTGTTCTGGGGGAAGGCTGGGGTACCAGGGTTGATATGAAGAATCTTGAACAGTGCAAAGGTGATGTCCTGAGAACCTGGACTGACTCAGAGGAAGGAGTAGGACAGATACTCAAAGACCACAGTGGAGTTTGTGCTCGGGTGGAGTGACTGTCTTTTCTCTCATCTGACTAATCTTTCACATCCATCTTGGCTGCCAGGAGGTTAAACCAGCTGACTTTGAGCTGGTTTCTTGCTTTCTGACCCAGAGGCAGGATGTATTTGTTGAACTAGAGCTGGAGAACAGTATTTTGTGATGGACAGGTTATTTTTTCCTTCCAACAAAATTTGTACTCTCCAGTATGGTGTTATTTGAACTGTGATTTGAAGTTCCATCTGCCATCTTGGAATTAAAACAGTGGCCAATTGCATTTTAAAATTGGGTCATCTCTGAGTGTTGGTGGGATTTTAGACTCTGGATCATGTGTACCTGTCACAGAAATGTAATAATTCTTTTGATAAACTGTCTTAGTACAGAGGTTGGGGAGATGGCTCAGTGGGAAATGTGTTTATTGTGCAAGCATGAGGACCTGAGTTTGGTTCCCCACACCCATGAAAAAGCCAGGCCTGGTCGTGCGCACTTCTAACCCCAGTATGGGAAAGGCAGAGACAGGAGGATGCTGGGGGCTTGCTGGCTAAATGTTCTTATAGAAAATAGTGGTCTTTAGGTTCATTGAGAGACCGTGTCTCAAAAAAAAATAAATAAGTGGGGAAGGAAGGCAAGAGCACCACACACAGATCCATGTGTACACACACACACACACACACACACACACACACACACACACACACACGCATACACACACACACACACTCCCCCAGAACCTCCCAGTACACCGTTAAAGTCTTGTTCAACACTGACTTTCTTCACTTTTCACTCCTGGGAACATATTAGGCTGTTGACACCTCCATCACTAATTACTAAGGATGAACAATGGTATGTGTCTGTAGTCATTAGCTTTTGTAACAATTTACTGATATGCCAGTGGTATCATGATAATGGGAATTTTTAATATCCCCAGCACAAAGAAATGCTAAATATCTGAGATATGCCAGTTACTGTGAGCTCATCGCCACATATTACGCACATACATTTAAAGGTCACAAGTACAGAACTATTTTATGTGTCCATTAAAAATTTAAAATACGGGACTGGAGAGATGGCACATCAGTTAAGAGTGCCCAAGTTCAGTTCCCACCACCCACAGTGGTTGACTCACAACTGCCTGTGACTCCAGCTCCAAGGGATCTGATGCCTTTGGTCTTTGTGAGAACCATACTCATGTGTTCACACTCCCACACAGACAGACTTAGACACATAATTACAAATAATAAACATAAATAGCTTAAAATTAGGGTATACTACAGTCAATTGAAAACAAAACAATAAAATAATACAGTTAGGGGGGGAGACTAGTGAAAGCTAGGAGGGGCTGGAGCACATACCCTTTACCCCAGTAGTCGGGAGGCAGAGGAAGGAAGGTTACAAGTTTGGGACTAGCCTGGGCTACGTAGTGAGACTCTATCTGTAGCTAACTGACTAGCAAACTAAATCAATACATAAAGTAGCTAAGCAGGACCTAAACCTCCATGGGACCCACAGTCTTCTCACTCAGCGATACACACAGCCATCATCATTGTTGTGCTGACTAGCTTTTATGTCAACTTGGTACAAGCTAGAGTCATCTGAGAGCTGGGAACTTCTACTGAGAAGACGCCTGCATAAAATTGGATTGTAGGCAAGCTGTATATACTATAGGGCATTTTCTTAATTAGTGATTGTTGAGGGAGGACCCAGTCCATTGTGGGTGGTGCTATCTCTGGGCTGGTGGTCCTTAGTTCTATAAGAAAGCAGGCTGAGCAAGCCCTGAGGAGCAAGCCAGTAAGCAGTACCCCTCCATAGCCTCTGCATCAGCTCCTGCCTCCAGGATTCTGCCCTGTTTGAGTTCCTGCCTTGAATTCCCTCAATAGACTGTGACTCAGGATATGTAAGCCAAACAAACATTTTCCTTCTCAAGTTGCTTTGGTCATGGTGTTTCATTACAGCAGGAGAAACTCTAAGATAACTGTTTTAGGAACTTGGGGGTGTTATAAAGGGCAGTGTGAGGAGAGTATTGGGTTTTGTTGTTTGTATACAACCTTTGCTCTCTGCCTCCCCAGGATGGAGCACAAGTCTTTGATAACCTCATGAGGGAGGTCTCAGAGTTTCTGTGGCTCACACAGGGGTGGTTCTCTGTGTTAGGGACACGGAACAGAGTGGAAAAGCATAACTTCTGGAACCAGGAAGGGCAGTTTTGTCTCCTGTGGGCCTGCAGCCATTAGTAAGTGAGGACAGCTTCCACTGACCGAGCTGAAGGGTTATGAAGGACTCACATGCTCTGGTTGTGACTGGAGAAAATTTGCCTGGCTCTGTGCGGTTCTTCCATGCACACCCTGCAGTTGATGGACACATATTCACAGCTGCCTAAGAGTTTGCATATGAGCTCTTTCTAGTGCGTCAAGTGTAAGAAACCCCAATTTTATGCTCTTTAATATTTTAATTACGTGTAGTGTGTGTGAAACCCCAATTTTATGCTCTTTAATATTTTAATTATGTGTAGTGTGTGTGTTTGTGTGTGTAGTGTGTGTGTGTGTTTAAGTATGTGCACAATGAGAGCAGGTACTCACAAAGACCAGAGGGGTTGAATCCCACTAGAACTAGAGTTACAGGCAATTGTGAGCCACATGATATGGGTATGGGGATTTAATTAAACCTGGGTCCTTTGGTGGAGCAGAGCCACTGAGCCACCTTCCCAGCTCCCCAATATCTATCTAATTGTCTATCTGTCTGTCTGTCTGTCTGCCTGCCTGCCTGCCTGCCTGCCTGCCTGCCTGTCTGTCTGTCTGTCTGTCTGTCTATCTATCTGAGGCGGGGACCTCTCTTTGTAGCCCTGGCTGTCCTGAAACTCATTATGTAGACCAGGCTAGTCTTGAACTCACAGAGATCTACCTGCTTCTTCCTCTCAAGTTCTGGGATTAAAGACATATACCACAACATTTGCCTTTGAACTTACTCTTAAGATGAAAATTAAATCCATCTCTGTTTAATTTCCCATCTGTCTAGGCTGTCCATGTGGGTTTAAGTCATCAAGGGCCTCAAGGATACTGGGCTCAGCAGTAAATTGGGCTGTGCCCCTCTGTGTCTCTTAGTTTGAGAGGTTAGCTGGCGACTGCATTTGGCTTTTGGCTTACTGCCCTTTGGCTGTTTGATGTCTGTCTCACAGTCTTCCTCTGAGGTCTTGCCCTTCCAGGAGGACAAAGGGCTTCTTAAATTTAAAGGCCTGACCGGCACAACAGGCCTGGAAAGTCAGTGCTGCGAGTTGGGATCTGAGGAAGGCTGATCACTCCCCCTCAGAGCCTCCTAGCTCTTGTGCTCTTTGTTCTCTTTTGGCAGAACCAGCTTCTTGCAAAAGGACTGTCCTTTGTGGAGGAGAAGATCAAGCAGTGTGAAGGCAAGTACAAGGACCTGGTGCACGGGGCTGTGACTCAGCCTCTGGTGTTTGTGCAGCTGAGATGCTCCTGTCCCAAAGCAGCAGACTCCCAGTGAGCGAGTCACCCCTGCTTCTTGCTGCATTCAGTGTTTTGGACCAGCTGACGCCGTCTGTGCAACCCAGACTGTCCTTGCACAAATGCATTGGGATGGGGTGAATTGTCGGAGACCTGGGTAAGGGGTTTCCATGGGTGTGTCCAGGTGGTGTCCTTTGAAGGGATGCAGGCAGCTGCTTTACCATAGATGCTGTTAGTCGCTCTGGTCTGCTCCAGGCTGTTCCCATCCACTGTTTCTTGGAGTCACGGTAGGCATAAGTGGCTCTATTAGGACAAGCAAGCTCCCACTCAATGGGATGTGGTCTGACAGGGGAAGAGAAATTTCTTTATCTGTCTGTGATTTTAGATCCCAACTGACTGGATGGAAACAAACTGACTACTGGAGAAGGAAGATGGTCTCAGAGGAAAGAACTGGCCACCCCTTCAATCCCACTGAGGGTTTCTAGGGACTCAGCTTAGCTTGTTCCTGAATTCTCCAGTGACTTTTGTCAAGTTTCTCCATCTCTCTATTTCCCTCCCCTCCCCTCCCCCGCCTCCCCTCCCTCCCTTCCTCTCAGCTCTTGTATCCCAGGCAGCCTCAAATTTCCTACATAGCAGATGACCTAGATTCTCCTGCCTCCACCTCCCAAGTGCTGGGATTACAGGCATGCAGCACTGTGCTTGGTCTATGCTGTGCTAGAGATGAAAAACCAGGGCACTGTGTAAGCTAGGCATGTACTCTAGCAACTGAGCTACACCCCCACCTCACAGCTTCATTTTAAAGCTCTGAAATGGGGTGAGGGCTTGTAGTAACTATAAGGTACACACAACACCATCCTCAGCACAGTCTGCCTTTTCTTTGTGTTCTAGCCTAACGACCTCAGTATAGGTCAAATGAATGTCCAGACTCAGACTATAATTGGAGTACAGAACTTCAAAAACATTCTGGCATGTGACAGCATGTATGAACTTTGAGGACATTATCCAGTGGAAGGCAATTTTATACCTGCTTGCATGCATGTGCACACACATTTTTTTCCTCTGGACTACATTTAGACTGTGATTTTTGTTTCCCTAAGTCTATAAATACCCACTAAGCCATGTAGTTGGACTTCCTTGTCAGACTTTCTTCGAATCACTAGCCCTCAAATAATGAAACAAAGACTTATTAATTATGAAAACTTGGCCTATAGCTTAAGCTTGTTCCCAACTAGCTCTTATAACTCAGATTAACTTGTTTTTATTAATTTACTGTCTGCCACGTGGCTTTCTGTCTCTCCTTCATTCTGCAGGTCCAACTCCTCCTTGTCTATTTGGTGAAATCCCCATGCCTAGATCCATCCCAAGTTCTTCGCTCTGTCTGGAAGTCTCACCTAACCTCTCCTGTCTAGCTATTGGCCAATCAACTTTTTATTAAACCAATCACAGCAAAACATCCTCACACAGTGTGTCAATATCCTGCAACAAAACCAGGGCTATAAATTCTTTGAAGTGGGGACTGGAGAGATGGTTCATGGGGTTAGGATGCTTGCTGCTCTTGCAGAGGACCTAGGTTCAGTTCCTAGCACCCATGTCAGGCACTTACTAGTGGCTGTAACTCTAGAGCCAGGAGATCTGCCTCCCTCTCCTAGCCTCCTTGGGCACCTGCACACATGTACACATGTGGTTCACAAACCACATACATATACAACATAAAATTAAAGAAATCAGTTGAAGTTGTGATAAAACATGTAATGTAAAATGTCCCCATCTCACCACGTCATAGTTCACAGAACTGACTTCTTTTTCTCATTTCTGTGCTGTGGCCTCCAATTCTTCATCTTGAAACTAGAAACCCCATACCATTGAACACTCATGTTTTCACAACTGCCGTTCATGCCTTGCTTCTGGAGTTTTGACTAAGAGGATTTTGTTTTTGTAAGTGACATGTCAGATGACACCATATGTTTTTGAAGCCATACACTCCAGTATATAGCTAGATAACATTTTCTGCATCTATTCATCCATCAGCAGTGGCTTGTTTTGATCAGGAAGTTAGTAGTTCTTTGTATCAGGAGTCAGGTTTGTACACAGATGTGGAAGGTAGCCCTCCAGTCAAGGGAGTACAAGAAGCATCCATGGCCATGCCGCTTGTATGTCAGTCTTCCGGGAAGTTATTAGAGTTATTACAACTGGAAATGGGTAAAACCAGCCCCACGAAACAGGCACTGAGTAAGATTTAGATGTCCTTAAATCAGGAAGTGTGGATACAAGTGACCTCCAGCAGAGGTGGACTCAAGAGTGGAAACTCTGACACCATTTTGTTAAGAGAAGCTTTTTCTTTTGCTAGCCGCTTTGGTTTATCCCCCGCCAGTCGCCTGGGCTCTGCCGCGCCAGCCTGGTTCTAGATTCGCATGAGTCCCAAATAAACACACAGGAGGCTATATTAATTATGAAGCTGTTGGCCTTGCTTTTTTCTTACTGGCTAGCTCTGACTTAAGTATTTACCCCATAATTGTTAATCTAAGTATGTCTCTTACCGGAGAGGTTTCCGAGCTTCCTACCCCAATGGCGGTTACATCTCGACCCTCTCGTGTTTCTCCTACCCAGAGTCCTCCTGGACTCCTAGTCCCTCCTATCTAGATTCCCTATTGGCCAGACAGTACTTTATTGACAAATGCACAGGCAAATAACAGGACTTTCCCAACATCTCCTCTTTTCTGTTTAAACAAAAAGAAACACAGTCAAATTGTATATAACAGAACAGTTATCAAATAAGAACATAGTTACAATATTTTAGCAAGATTTAAAGAAAATATCATCCATCCCATCCTTGTGAGTCCAAAGTTCTATATGTAGCTTATCTTTTATCATAACTAAGGAAAACTATAATTATAGCTATCTGTCTTCAACTCTATCAAAGACCACAGAAGGATAATATATAAACACTAGGATTGACAGAGGTATCTTACTGCCTGGACAGTCACCCGAAGTTCCTCTGTAACGTTGGGGCATCCATCTTCAGCCCATAGGCCACAATGTGTCTGGAACACTTCTCAGCAAAGCAGGAAATTTCAAACTGTCCATCTGCATTGGCAGTCTGTCAGTCATTTTTCTTTGTCCTGCAGAAAGTCTCGTAGACTCTTCATGAAGCAGGAACCCTGTAAGACTGAGTTCAGTAGTCACTTTCCTGTGGGTCCTGCATGTCCAGCAACAGTCAGTCTAGGCAAGAGCTGTTTCTTGCCCAAATGGCTAAACTTGCCATGTTGAAAGCAAATGGGCCGGGTGGTGGTGCACGCCTTTAATCCCAGCACTCGGGAGGCAGAGGCAGAGGCAGATCTCTGTGAGTTTGAGGTCGGACTGGACCGACAGCATCCAAAACAATACAGAGAAACCTTGTCTTGTAAAACCAAAAGAAAAAAAAAAAAAGAGTGGAAACTTGGAGCTAGAGCTTAGATGGGACGACCAAAGATCATCCAAGATTTTGTGCCTATAGATCCAAAGCATGGTTAGGGACCTGGGGATACATTGCAGGCATTCCCATGAAGCTTCCTAATGAGGGGGTTGTGGTGTGGGAGCCCTTTCTGCACACTGGACAGGCAGAGAAGGACATTTAAGAGATGCCCTCATCTTCAAACAGAATGATTCTACTCTTTGGTTTCATGAATTAGAACTTTGGGAAAGGTTTTCTTTGGTTGAAAAGTTCTTGTGTCACAAAAAATTAAATTAGAGAATAACCAGGATGCCCTGTGCCATTGCTAGGTGAAGGTCCCTGGCAGCTTTCTGCTTGTAGTTGGGTTTATTACTGTGTTCAGCTGTACTTGATGACGGCTGGTGGATAGGGGACAGCATGTTGTTGTCAGTCTTTTCTACAGTTGTACTGCCCTTGCTTTTCAGGATAGCAACCTGTGTGCTCCTGATGATCTAACTCCTGTGGTACATCAGAGGGCAGATTTGATGACAGACAATCTAGAAACTTCCATTTAAATCCTAACCTTTGTAGGGAGCTGGCTCATCTTGTAGGCTATTTCTGGAAATGAAGCTACCTGTTTCCTTCACCTCTTTCTTCCTTTTTTTGGTCTGTGCCTGCTGTTCTCATAGCACACTTTCTGGAACCTTCTTTCCTTCCTGACTCTTATAGCCATTAGTCAGATCTAGCCTCCCAGAAGGTACCTCCCAGCTCCAGGTGAAGGGCTCCTTGTTGCATCCATGAGGTCTACACCTTAGTTAGCATGGACGGAGGCACAGTCCTGCACTACAGGGTTCTCCCTCCTCCCCTTCATTGTAGAAGGCTTCGGATAGGGGCTATAAGCGAAGCAGCCAGGACAGTCTTTACTCCTCTTTGGCGTTCAGGATTTAGGAAACAGATGACCCTTTGGTTTTCCCACCTCATCCCTGCAGTGAATGAGTATTGCTTATAACTGGCAAATGCTTCTGTGTGGCTGATTAGTCACTTACTGGATGCCAGGCCCTTTGCTAGATTCTGAGGCTGCTAAACTGGAAATGGGAACAGATATGAATCAAATCACCATATATTAGTTGTGTGTGAGTGGTTGGGTGAGAGTGTAACCAAGACTAGTACTAATAATACACACACACACACACACACACACACACAGTGGGGGGGTGATTAACTGGAGGAATAAAGTCAGAATGTAAGAGTAAATTCTGAGCTGAAACAAGGAGGATTAACAGGTAAATTAGGTAAAGAGAGAGATAAAGAGAAGTAAGAGGGGCTGAGATCAAACCTGTGCAGCCACAGTTCAAAGACCAAGGGAAACCTAGCTGAGGATGAAGACAGAGGAGAAGGACACAAAGCCTCTTGGCTGCGTAGTTCACATTGTAGTAGTATCCTTCTCCCAAGAGAAAACAGAAAATGTGCCTACTCTTGGAAGGCTTGCCCTATAATGTCAGCTATTTGGGTCAGATAGGAACCTCCCACCCATGAGAGACCCAACATGTGCAGAAACCTACACATTTGGCACTTGCCATTCTTTGCCATGAAGACCTTTACGTAGTGGTTTATTGATGTGTCTATCTTGGTGCTCTGAACCTAAAATGTAAGAGGCACAAACCTGCCCCAGGACAAACCTGTCTCAGCCTCTCAAGTCCTAACCGAGGACAGTTCATTTTGGCAACTTTTGATTAGCACTTTGCCGGGAAGAGCAGAGTATGACACAGGTCTGCATTCGCCCCGAGCTCTCAGCAGCTGTCAGCAACTAGCTGTCCCCTTGTTCTGTGCTGTCTTCCCAGCCACTGCTTTTATTGACCGTTAAATTAATAGACGGAAGATGCTAAATGAGTCTATCAGGCCTCGTTCCATGGAACTAGTGCTGTTTTGCCAACCACGTCTCTCCGTGTCTTGTCTTGGCTGACCCAGTTTCTCTGCTCAGGATGGGCAGACAGTAGCCCATGAGCTCTGGCATCTAGGTCACTAAGCAGCTGCCACTTCAACCAGGCTCTCTCCTCTCACATCCCTTCAGTGGCATGAGGTGACCTGTGTACTTTAGCCTGTGGGTGGCATTTGACTTCCTGGTGACAGGGGCGAGCAGGCTCAGGCAGGAGGTGCCTCCCTGCTACCTGAAGCAGTGGGTAAAGCTGATACTGTAGATCTTGTTTCTACTTCTCGCCTGACAGCTCAAACCCAGAATCAGGCCAGAGTATGCAACTGTGCAAACACATCAGTGTACAACTGTGCAGGCAGCCGTATATAACTGTGGCGCAAACAGATCAGTGTACAACTGTGCAGATAGCAGTTTATAGCTGTGCAAAAAGAGCAGTGTACAATTGTGCAAACACATCCATCGCATGAAAAATAAAAGACCCGGAGACTGATATTGGGGTTCATGCTTCAAGCTGAAAATCAGAAAAGGAAAGCAGCCGGACTCTACCTCTTACCTCCACCTCAGGCTGACAGGGCTGATCCTGTCTCTGTGAGCTTTCACCAAGCCTCACACTGCTGCCTTTCCTTAGCATGGCTGGAGAGAATCAGTGCCTTCCTATCCTCAATGTGGTTGGAGAGTGAATGCCAGCTCTGAGACCCTGTTCCTGTCTTAAATACCTCTCCTGAGTCCTGGGATTAAAGGTGTAAGCTCTGTTACTCTTTTAGATGGATTCAATCTCATGTAGCCCTTGGTGGCCTTGAACTCAGAGAGATCCATCTGCCTTTGTCTCCTTAGTCCTGGGATTAAAGGTGTGTACCACCACTGCCTGATCTCTATGGCTTGTGGCTGACTTTGCTTTCTGAATCCTCAGGCAAGCTTTAATAAATCATAAATAATGTATTGCCACACAGATCAGTGTATAACTGTGCAAACAGCAGTGTATAAACTGCAAACAGATCAATATACAACTGTGCAAACAAAACAGTATATAACAACTGTGCAAATGGAGCAGTGCATAACTGCAAACAGATTCGTGTATAATTTGTGCAAACAATCTTCAGAACAATTAGATAAAAAGCATGAGGTCAGGGACCCCAACTTTGCTTTTGAGCTGTGTGTTGTTAACCTAGTTACTTGGTATCTCTGCCCCTGTAAGAGGGCCTACTCACGTCGTATTGATCAATAGTTTAGCACAGTGTCTGAAAATGCTGTAAACACTCATGGATACGGATTGTCATGTGATTTTAAAGCATCACCTATCCTTCTGAGTTTGGGGATAGAAAAGCATATTTGAATGTTTTCAGTTGAGGCTTCCCACCTGCATTTTGCTTTAACAAAATACGCAAAGTCACCTTATAAATAGGAAGTTGACCTGGCTCACTGATTTGGAGGCTCAGACATTTTGGTGTGTCCTCTGGTAGGAGCCTTATGGTGGGGTGGCATTGTGGTGGTAGGCAAGTGTGGAAGGGATCACACGGGAAGCCAGGAAGCCAGAGCAGAAAGAAGTCAGAGACCAACTCATTTTCAGAAGCCTCTCTCCCAAGGAGCCTCACTCTGCAGCCTGACACTAGTCTGTTCCAAGGGCAGGGCTCCCAGTGACTTCTGACTGGGTCACACCTCATAAAGATTCTCTTCTGCCATCCTTGCTACAGAACACCGACTAGCCTCAAATTCACTATACACAGCCCGGGCTGGTCTCGAACTCATGATCCTTTTGCTTCTAATGTCCAAGTGCTGAGATTACAAGTGTGCATCCCCACTCCCCACCCACCACACTGGGGCCTGAGTTTCCACCATGTGAGCCCTTGCTACCATCTCATGCTCTCACTGCTGTAGTACTTCGTGGCTTAAACGCCCCCTCACTGTTCCTGCAGAGGTCATTCCTCAACTTACATTACAGGATCTTACTAGTGGTGTTGGATTTCAATTGCTGTGTGTATCCTATGAGGAAATCTTCTGATGGCCTTAGCAGGGACAAAAAAAGACCCTGTACACTGTGACTGTGATCCCGGGGTATCGGCGGCTCTGGGCATTGGCAGCTCTGGGCTACAAGTTTCCTAGAGTATGAGACTTCACACTTGAGGAGGAACTGTCCTGCGGCTTCTCCTGTGAGTAATGACATCTCTTCTTTCTCTCGTCTTCTCTCCCGTGTGTAGGTGATAGTCGCATTGAGGTTCTGGCTGAGGTCTGGGACCACTTCTTCACCGAGACTCTCCCCACCCTGCAGGCAATATTTTATCCGGTTCAGGTTAGTGTCACTGGGATGCAACAGCCTGTGTCCTCCACTGACCTGGGTGATCAGGCCTCTTGCTAAGAGGGCGACAGTCTAGAAGTGGGTAAGAAGGGGCCCTGGAGGGCTTCTGAGTACTCCCTGGGTCTATATTTAGCCCCTAACTTCAAGTAAAGAGAGTCTTATATATAACCAGCAATTTGTAGGTTTTTGTTACACTTGTGGTTTTGATGACATGTGTACAGAGCAGGGTGGGTTCTCTTTTTCCTTCTCTTTCTTTCCTACCCTACCTCTCCTCACTGGCATTCTCTTTGAAATGCAGTTTTAACATGCTTGATTAGTACACGATGACCAGAAAGTCCTGGTTCATTAGGATAACGTCATGTGTGTCTAATGTACTTTTATTCACCCCCTTCTACTCTGCTGCCTCCCCACCACCTACCCCAGTCCTCTTGAAACACAGTTTAAGCAACTTACTGTTGTCCTGAAGGATACTGTTCCTTGCTGTCTGTGAGGGACTCTCACCCAAAGAGCTATATGCTGTAATAGTGATGGGTGGGGAATGAGTAGGCTGGAGTTCTAGAGTGCTGGTTCAGGGGTACTTACCTTTTGTGCACAGCACCATTCAGTCCCTGAAGAATGTGGGATTAGGATTTAGGGTTGGAGAGATAGCACAGCAGGTAAGAGTTTGTACTGTTCTTGGGGCCCTGGGTGCGATTCCCAACACACATGATGGATGGCTCTCAACTGTGAGTAACTCCAGTTCCAGGGGGTCCAGGGGCCTCTTCTGAACTCCCTAGGCTCCTACACTCATAAACACAAACCCACACAGTAACACAAGTATATACATATGGTTTATATATAAGTATATATATAATTTATGATAACGATAACAAATGTCTTTCTAGAGCATGGGATTTAGGGAAGGCTATTCATCAGTAAAAAGCTGGCCACAACAAGCAGGAGGTCCTGAATTCAGATCCTCATCGGCCATTTAAAAGTCAGTGTTGCTGCACATCTTAACCTCAGTGGGTGGGGGAGACGGGCAGGTCTCTGAACCTTGCTGGCCAGCCAGTCTTCCTCTCCCTAATTGTCCTCATATACCTGCAGCTTGCTCACATTCCTCTCCTCCCCCAGAGGGTACGCTTTTGCCTGGTCTGGCTTTGTTGAAGGGTGAGTGTACTAAGCAGACTGGAAACAGAGCCACCAGCAGTGGCTGGAATTTCCTCATTCCACAGCGAAGGCCCCAGGTTTGCACTTACCGGTGCTTTAAAGGAGTATGGGATTGCTCACACTCCATACCCGATATTTTAACATTTGGTTTAGTGATGTCACGTCCCGTTACAGACTCGCCTCTCCCATCTCCTGCAACGCAGTGCATGGAGAAGCCTGGCCTGTAGCCCGTTCCTCTCTGCGTCTTCAGTCTGAACCAGTGTTGCTGGAGGCCCTGCAGCTTCTCCCCTCATACAGATTCCCTCTCCCTTACAGTTATCACCCCTTAGCAAGCAGCAGGTCCTCAGAAAGGTAGACCTGAGGGTAGGGTTCACCGATGTAGCAAATAAAAAGTTGCCTTAACCTTGAATTTTATATAAATGACAAATAATGGATGCTGACACACACATGAATGTGAAAACAGAATTTAGCCGGCGTCTTGTGTTTGATCTGTTTAACCCAGAAGAAGGAGATATACAGGTCAGGGACACTTGTATAGCAGCTGCCAGGACGAGGTGGTGGCTATTGAATGTGGACCCTGGGTCAGGATGGGCACGGAGGGGCAGGCAGGAGCTTAGTCCTACAGGATGGCTGTGTTTTGGTTCTCTTAAGAAGCATTAAGATTAATCCCAGCACTCGGGAGGCAGAGGCAGGTAGATCTCTGTGAGTTCGAGACCAAGCCTGGTCTACCGAGCGAGTTCAGGACAGCCTCCAAAACAATATGGAGAAACCCTGTCTCGAAAAACCAAAAAAAGAAGAAAAAAGAAAAAGAAAGAAGAAGAAGAAGAAGAAGAAGAAGAAGCATTAAGAACTGGCAATATGAAGTATTGCTTATTTCACCTCCCCCCCCCCCCAACTGACCCTCACTCACTAGAGGCTTTCTTCCCCTGTGATCCTTTCTCTGGTCCACTATGAAGGGAAGTCTGAGGATACCCCGGGGCCCTGGCTAATGGCTGAGAATGAAAATTTCAGGAAGTAGCGATTGACTTGTTTTTGTTGGTATATCCTGGGCTCCCATCCAGTGCATTTTGTGACAGTACAAGAAGCCAGATTTTGCATGTGATTAAAGCCTTTGGCTTTTGGGACCATAGACGAAAAGTTGCACATTTCATCCTGGATTGGGGACAGTTCCAAGGTTAAGTGGCCGCTCACACTGCTGCTCTGGGCCCTCTTGGGCTGACATTTTAACCTGGCCCCAGCTCCATAGACAGACGGTTTAGTCAGTTTATCTCCCTTTCACACACACACTTACACATAGATGCAAATAAATCTTCAAAACTGTAACAATGCCTCTTCAAGTCCCAGGGTTCCAGCAGAGGAGTTTGAAAGGACATACATAAACCACAGCAGATGTGGAGACTCCATGCACTGTTTACATCTCAATGCTTAGGGTCCCGCCAAGCCCACAGAGCCTAGCCATTGGTATTTTTATCTCTTGCCTACTACCCCAGCAGTTGAAATAGTGACACTCTTCCTACTTACAAGTCACTTTTCCTCCTTAGATACTTGGGATTTTGTCAGAAGCTAACATCTTACATAACCACGTAACGGCTGATGTTGCCTGACCTATGATGAGCACTTTAGTATTTAACAGACACAATTGAAAAAGCAGCCTTGAAGTGAGGAGAGGGTTGCAAACTTTTCTGTCTCTTTCTCCTCCCTTCCTCTCTCTTCCTTCTTGCCAGCCACTGAAATACCCTGACAGCATGGCCCCAGTTACATGTGTCTTCTATTGTCTTTGGGTTATCTAAACAGGCTGGTCCATACCTTGCCCACAGAACCTGCACGTGCGTGCCCAGTCCATCCTGAGTGCACCGTGAACACTCTCCCTGGACTGCTTGAGGCTGGTGGGGACTCAGCAAATGCTCACCTCTCACTTCCCACCTGTCTTCTTCACCAGGGACAGGAGCTGACCATCCGCCAGATCTCCCTGCTGGGCTTCCGGGACCTGGTCCTGCTGAAGGTGAAGCTGGGTGACTCGCTACTGTTGGCACAGTCCAAGTTGCCGTCGTCTGTTGTACAAATGCTGCTCATTCTGCAGGTGAGCGCTGGGGGAGGCCTGCCTCTTGTGCCGGCAAAAATAACCCTGCCCTTGTGGAGCTGGGAGGAGGGCTAACAACACAGTAGCTGAGCTGTGAGTTCCTCTGCTTCTTTATCCGTGCTTCTTGGTTCACTGGCTCATGTATTTGCTGTGCACCCGCCAGACCCCTAGTGCTGTACTTGGTGCTGGCATTGGAGTAAGGGGAGGAAAAAGGACCTGGAACCTGATTTACTGGATGCCGTGGCCTTCTCGGTTCCTGTGAGGGTGGGACTTGGATGCTTGCATTCTCTCCGCTCTGAATGCTCTGTTGTCTATGACAGTCAAGGCATACCCTAAGCATTTTCCTCATGCTGTGTCCTCAGCACCCAGCCCAGAGTTCTGAGCACAAAAGTAAGCTTTCATTGTGGTGCCCACCAGTGAGGAGAAGACATTTCTCCATGCTCTTCAACTATGTCAAGGAGCCAGGGAGTACAAATAATGACAAAGTATCTACCAGAGTTGAGTCAGGATAGACCCAGAGCTCCTAGATGGGTCTCAGAGCCGCCAACTCTGGTCTCTTCCTGGCCTCTGTTTGCATCGTTCTTCCTTATTTTTCTGTGATGCTGTCTCTTGTGGCCTTGCCTGGTTGCTCTTGGACTTGACCTTTCTCTATGTGTGTGGAATTCTTTGGGTCAGATTACATGTGACTTGTCCTGCTGTTTGTTTCCAGCAGGACACTACCCAGATGGCTCCATGCTGTCCCAATCCCAAATCAGCAACAGGAAGATGAGCTAACACCTCAGGCTCTGGTTGTTTGCCAGGTGCAGGCACAAGGACTATAAATGTACTGTTTTCTTAAACAATCCAAATAACCGTTTTATGAGGTCAGCATTGTTGTTATTCCCATGCTCCAGACTAGGAAACAAAAATAGGGCGCTTCTACTCTTGACTGAAATCCCTCAGCTGGTAAAATGTGGTAAGATTCTAATACTCAGAACATCCTGCTGCCTCCTTGGGGGAAGAGATCTGATTGGCACATGTTGGGATCCCTTCTGCCCAATCAGCTGTGACCTTGAGTGAGGTCAGGTGGAACTGACATGCTCTGGGGAGCCCTTTCCCATCGATCGGTATGCAGTTCTCAGGATCCAGCCTTCCTCAGGTGATGACTGGTGGAATGTCACCAGCCCCATCTCCCCCAGCTACTATGCTTTTAACTATCTTGGGACCACCTTTCTAAATATCCCCTTTTCCTGGAATCAGAAAAGAGGAAGGGTCATCTTAGAGATGAGGATGGCAGTCTAGGTCCAGTCTTTTTGTAAAAGGGAAAAAAAAGGATGGACATGACAAAGTGTCTGCTGGCTGCATCTGAAGTAGTAAACACAGAGCTTAGCTCCCAAATACAGAGGTAGAAAAAGAGCCCCAGAGGATTCTGGAAATGAAGTTAGAAAGCTGGGCTCCACTTTCTGTTTTCATTTGTAACACTTTGGAGAGGCATCCAGTATTCGTTACTTCCCTTTTTGCTGTGACAAAATACCTGAGAAAAACAACTTAAAAGAGGAAGGGTTATTTATCACCACAGAGAAGGCATGGCAACAGGAAGGCCAGGCAGCTGGCCACACGTGTCTTGCATGTGTGTCAGTAAGTAGAGAGGGATTAATGTTAGCACTCAACTGGGTTCCTCTTTCTTTGCAGCCTGAGACCCCAGCCCAGGGAATGTATTATTCATGTGTAGAGTGGATCTTCCCACTTCTATTAACCTGATCTAGATAAATCCTCATAGACATGCTCCCCAAGGGGCATTTCCATTCTGACAGTCAGGATTAACTACCACACATCCCTTTCTAGTAGTTGTCATGGTTGCCCTCTGAGGATTCTCCCCAACTGAGCAGGAGGACCTGTTTCTATTATTGAAAGCCTTCTGAGGTTCTGGGTCCTGTGTAGATCAACCCAACCACCCCTTAAAGCCCCGCAAGATGTACCAGAAGAACTTCCATCCACTCTGACTATGTCCCATTGACCCGTGAGGCTGTGCACCTGAAACTTTTTGTGACTGATCTTAGGAAGTCTACTCAGGACTGACCCTGGGCCTCTCCACCTCCCCATCAGATAATAGCAGCTGGCTTCCCTGGAGCTCTGTCCTTCTTGGTCCCTGCGGGGCTGGGATCTTGGTGCTCACTTTTCCTCTGCTCTAAACACAGTTGTCTGGAACAGTCAAAGCAAATCTTAAGCTTCTTCCTCATGCTTGCGCCCTCAGCACCCAGCCCAGTCTTGATCATAAAAGTGGGTGTCTAGAAAGTGATGGAGGCAGCTAGTGAGAACCTAAAGAGGACCCCAAGTCCCTTTGAGCCCCAAGATGGCTTCTTCTTTTAGAAGGGTGAAATACAGCTAGAGAAGTTTTGTGGCTATGATGGAATTCTGGAAAATTGGGCAAGGAAACACTCTGCTGTGGATTTTGGTTTTCCCACATCAAGGTGATGGAGGGCAGAGGTTAGCTAACCAACAGGAGTACAGACTGATCTGTGGGAGCTGGGCCAGTCAGCCATTCTCCATCTTTCACTCTTTCTGTCCTCTTAATCTTCCTTCTTGTCTCTGCCTCGGTGCTGGAAACACCTTAGAGCTTCTAAGATGGTCACACTCCAGGGTGGGGTACTTGGCATCTTTTGCCTCTGAGCCTCCTGGGGATGAGTCTCCTGGGCCTCTTTCTCCCTTGGATCTCATGGAGCTGAGGCAGGGAGGGTGACAGCAATAAATGTAGATCTTTCCTCAGTACAGATCTATTTTCTGGGGCCCAAGGGGCAGCAGTTTGGGAGTCGGAATAGAATGTCCAGGGAATCCACTCTGGGGCCACACCTGCTACAGGGGATGTAACTGTGAATTGTCTGTTCTTTCCTAGGCCCTTAACTCTCCACAGAGACATGAGACCTGGGATGATTTCCCCAAAAGGACCAGATTCTGATACCAAAAAACAAAATAAGCCTTTCTCAGGCTTCAGTTCTCTCTTTCCCACAGTCTTCCGCACATTCTTGAGCCAATCCTTCTCTTACAGGAAGATACAAGGGCATTTCCTGCTATAGGTAGAGAGCTCCTGTTCTCAAGGGGCCCTACCCAGCTGATGAGGGAGACCTTCAGTCAGTATGGGGCCCTGCCCAAGAGACAAGGTATATGACATTGTCCTTGGAGGGTCCTGTGCCTAGTTTAATAGTCTCCCACTCAACATTCTCAGTAAGTTTTGAATGTGGGGATCAGCATCTTGTTTCATAATGGGCCATGAAAAGTTATCGTTTACTGGCTGTTTTATGCTAAGTGGGACAGAAGGCTGAGGATGCCCTCAAGGGTCATGTCCTTGGGAGAGCTACCCAGCTCCAAGCTGTGTTGTCATCCATTTTCCTCCTGCCATTTGCCACTTCTATTTCCTGTCATGTCTCTTTTGGGGGAGAGGCTAGAGAAGAAGTTGATGAGAACTATAAAGAGAAGAAATAAAGGAAGAAAAGTATTTCCCAGGCTTTGAGACCTAATGAAGGTGGTTTTATGGTTTGGAAAGCTCTGTCCTGAGGTCTAGTTCCATCCTGCCCCTCTCCCTTCCTTGAGTAACTCCCTCTGATTTGGGCAGGCCTTCATATGTCTTCCTAAGTCAAGCAGTTTCTTTCCTTTTCCTTTTCAATGCTAAGCATTCCAATGCTGGAGCTCGGGGGAGTGGAGCTGGAACAGAGGGTGTGGAGAATCGCCATGCCTGTTCCTAGTGCCACAGACAAGTTCATCCAATGAGCAGTCACTTACTGCACCTGTCCCTTCCCTCCCTTTTTTGTCACAGACTGCAAACTCTGCCTACACCTGTAGCTCCTTCTCAGGTTTCTTGTTTCCTTAAACCTTCCAACACCCAAGCATATGCATCTCATTGATGTAGCTGAGGAGGACCAAGGAAGAGCTTGTTTCCTTGGGAACCACCTCTCACCTGTGGATCCCTAACCAGCAGGATTGGCCCCACATGCTTCTTCCACAGACAACTTGGGGAGCATGGTGAGCTTTCTCTCTTTAAGGAAAGCCAGTTAGGATCGTTTTGAGACTTTGAGGAGATAATCTTTCTGGCTAAGCACAGAGACCCCTGGAAGCTTCCTTCTTTTTCTCCCCAGGCCCTTTCCTGGTGGTCTCTGGGTCTTTGCCATCCTTCAGCAGAAGGGCACATTTTCACACCTTTTCCGGTGAGAAACAGTTCACAAGGAGCCTGCTAGTTTTCTAGAAAGCAGGTTTGTACCGGTTTTGGCTGCCATGCATTTATTTTGGTTGGCTTTTACCCCAGGCTTATTTTAAGGACTCTGGCCATGCTGGAGTGCTGATATCTGACCCGAACCACTCTTCCTTTCTCCTGTTCTGAACTGTTCAGTGCTTTTTCTCCATTTTCTAACCTGGTAACAAGTGACAGTCACATGGGCTCAGAGCCAGATAGCTTGGGTTTCAATACAGTGGGGCCTTTGTTGTTGTTATTGTTCTTTGTTTTTGTCATTTGTTGGCTGTGTTATACCAGGCAAGTTTCCTAAGCCTCCTCCTGGTGTTTATTTCTGGTTACTGGAAGGGTTGTTGGGAGGCCTTCGTGTTAGTACATAGGCAGTGCTTTTGTTAAGTGCCTGTGAGCTGTGGATAAGTTCACCACTCTTCCGTGGGTACAGTAATTGCTGGGCCTTGCCATCCCGCCATTTAGAACTAGAGTTAGGACTATGCTACCTATACAGCCAGGGGAGAACCCAGACGTTGTTCTTAGAAGGCCACAGTTTCTGGTTTATTTTTGTTTTTTGTTTGTTTGTTTGTTTTGCTTTTTGACACAGAGTTTCTCTGTGTAGCCCTGACTGTCCTGGAAACTGCTCTGTATACATCAGGCTGGCCTTGAACTCAAAGATTCACTTGCCTCTTCGTTTCTGGTTTAATTATTCTCTCATCTCCCACTCAGCATCATTACTGAGGGCCCTGCTTCTTCATTTTGTACTGGGCCAGGAAAACCTGCCATTTGTGTTTTGCTAGGCAGCCTGGCAGAGGGGCTGAGGAATGAGGACTGCTGCCTCTGAAAGGCTTAGTGTAAGCTGTGTCCTCATCGCCCATGGACCTGGGAGAGCAGCTCCAAGTCCTGCATTTATCCTTCCCTCCCACCTCTTGCCTCATCTCCATTTCCTGTCCTCTTTCATCCTCACCCATTGACTCGGGACAGATGACCATTGCTTCTGGCCTGGCGGCTGGCTGTGGCCACACTGCCTTGTACTCGGAGGAGGATCACTGGCAGGCGCTGACAAGTGTCCACTGCTGAGATGCTTTTCACTAACCTTTACCTGTCTTGGGTGTTTATTTGTAGAGTGTTCATGAGCCCACAGGCCCAACCGAGGGCTATTTGCAGCTGGAGGAGCTGGTGAAGCAAGTGGTGTCTCCCTTCCTTGGCATCAGTGGGGACCGAAGCTGCACAGGCCCCACGTACTCACTGGGTAAGAAGAACATTGCTCTATAGTCTAGAGGCTTGGGGATAACGATACCCATCACATGGTACCAAGCACCGACTGTCTGCCCAGCTCTTTGTTCCAGTGAAGGCCAGTGCAAATCTTGGTGTGTTAATTACAGATGTTTCGAGGCCATATGGCAGTAACCCTGCACCTCTACCAATCTTCCTCAGAGACAGATCCCAGCCTCTGTAGTGGTATCTTTCTCATCCATACCTTTGATCAAAGACTTTGATCTTTATATGTGTCTGGACATTAATTTTCTTGTATCTAATACCAGAAACTGTATTTTTAAATTTTTTACCTGCCTTAGTCACAGTTACTATTGCTATCATCAAACACTATGACCAAAAGCAACTTGGGGAGGAAAGGATTTTTTTCTTGTTAGGCCCATGCAGCCAGTTGTATTGGCAAGCCTGGGCAGCGGGCACCCACCGAAAGGTGCAGATCAGGAAATATCATCTGGATTGGAATCTCTTGGCCCTCTTCTGTGGTAGAGTTGGGGTAGAGCTTCAAAGCCGAGGGGGCAATGAGAAGTTTCCAGAGAGCTTGCTGCCCTTCCTGGGTCTCTCTGAGTGTAAGGCTGAGTTTTCTATTGGCAGTTTCCCCTTCCCTGAGCCTGTCTCTCTGGAGGCACTAGCTTCACTGCATAGGCAGACTGGAGGAGGCTAGCTCCAGTCAGCTGACCTCCAGGTCTGCCCACAGCCTCAACCTCTGATCTCTTCCTCACTCCTGTCACATAAGATCAAAAAGCTATTGAAGGGAGACACTCTCCCACCCTCTGCCAGAGGCTGGATGCTGTATTGCTGCAGTCTCCATAGAGCCTACCTTCCTTGTTACTACTTGGGCCCATGTCATTTCAGAGATGGGGACACAGAGAGATGTCAGGATGCCAGCCGGTTAGCTGAGTTATGTCAAGAGCTCTACGGTAGTCAGGGCCTAACGCCAACAGAAGGGAAGAAAAATAACTTTTTTTCAACCCCCATAAGCCCTTAGTTGGAACAGATCCCTGTAACAGATTAACGAGAAAAACAAACAAGTGTATTGAAACATGTGTTCTCACATGCAGGAGAGACATCCAAGGGAACAAGTAGTTTTCAAATAGTTGGCTTTGAATTCCTGTTTATGTAACATCTTTAGTTTAATAAAGAACAGTAATTTTTGAGACAGGGTCTTATGTAGCTCAAGCTGACCTCAACCTTGCTATGTAGCTGAGGATGGCCTCAAACTTCTGATCCTCCAGCTTGAACCTGCTTCTTCTTTGCTTTTAGTTTGCTAATCCTCCATGTTTTAAAGATTATTTTATTATTCTATGTGTATGGGTGTTTTGCCTGTACGTGTACGATTGTGTGTCTAGTGTCCAAAGAGGCCAGAAAAAGGCATTGATTTCCCCTGGGACTGGAGTTACAGGTGGTTTTGAGCCACCATGAGCTGCTGGGAATTGAATCTGGGTTCACTGGAAGAGCAGCCAGTGCTCTTAACTGCTACCCCATCTCTTCAGCCCCCACTTTACGTTTTGAGGAGGCACATTCTGGTTTCCCATGCCTGGAACAAGAGAAGATATGAGAACTCTAAGACAAGCTATGTCGGACTCTTCAGCCCAAATGGGAACAATACACGCTTTTGTCGGATAAGGCAAGCCCTGAGACTTTATTCTTGTATGAAGGACAGTGTATTTTTTAACATTATGTTTATTTTACTTACGTGTGTGTGCGTGCGCGCACTTGTGTGCCTGTGTGTGCATGAACACACATGTCCATGCACACATGCCACAACCTAAGTATGGCAGTCAGAGAACAACTTGTGGGAGACCATTTTCTCCTTTCATCATGTAGGTTCTGGGGTTCGAACTCAGGTTGACAGGCTTGGTGTCAGGCACCTTTACCTGCTGAGTGATTCCGCCAGCCCAGTCCTTGATTTTGAAAGGGACTTTGTCCTCAAAGGGACAGAGGGTGGCCATTTTCCTCTTTTGAGCAATTTAAAAATTATTGTTATTTCATTTAATAACAATCTCAGCAGATGGGTGGTCACTCTCTGCCAGGCACATTGTGTGCTGCTACACAGCCCAGTGAGGGCGAAGGTAAGGCAGAGACCGTCTGTATACGGATGCTCTGAGGAGGAAGCACAGGGACCACCCAGACAGGACACTGGGGAAGGCTCCCTGGAGGAAGTGACATCTGTGTGGGGGAGTGTCGGATGTGCAGGAGTTAGCTGAGTAAATAGGAGAAAGACTGCCCAGTCAGGCAGGACCATTGGAAGGACTAGTGGTTTGTGGGAGGTTCAGAGGAACTGAAGGAGCTTCAGAGGTTCAGTGTCACTAGTGTCAAGAAACAGTGCTGGTCACAAGCCAAATCATAGGCATTGTGCTGGATGGGCTGTGGAGCAGGGTGGCCATGCCTGCATTATAATAAGGGCAGGATCACCAATGCTTCTATTCTTTAGTCCGGGAGGTGTCTGTCCCATGCCAGACATTTCATCGCAGTCCTCTGTGCGTTAAAAGCTGAGGTGACCTTCCTTTCCCTTTGGGGACAGAGTCCTCCATTGATGGTGAAAATAGCATTCATTCTGTCTGGGGCAGAGGGGTATTAAGACAATAATTGAGGGGTTGGAGAGAGGCTCAAAGGTTAAGAACACATAATGCTCTTGCAGACGACCCAAGGTCAGTTTCTAGAAGCTACCACAAGCCTCTACTGTAAATCTAGCTCCAGGGAGATTACAATACCTGTGACCTCTGTGCTCGCATTCACTCAGATGCACAAACCCACACGTGGACACACACACACACACACACACACACACACACACACACATACGCACACACGCGCACACACACATATTTTTCAAAAATAGACAATGAAAAAATTTACGTTGGGGTCACAAGAGATCCTATTATCTGAGGCTGCGCTGTGGCTTTTGAGAACTAACTGAGCAGCTGGAGCATCAAAGCCACTCAACCAATGGCCGTGCCGCACACTCCTGTCCAGGCTGCTGGCAGGTGTGCATGGCCTGAGGAGGGCGGTGCTACTGTTATTTTTGGAATCCCTGAGAGATACCGCAGCTTTGCAGGCAAGAAGGGTACTTATCCTGTATCCCTGCTGTGTGCCCTGAGTCTTCCATTCCAGAGACGCTGGGGCAGTCACTTGCTGGACCTGGAGCCAGACCAGGACAGGGAGTCTTGCTTTAGAACAACAGAGAAGTAATCTAATCCAAGGGGCATGAATGTGTGTGTGTGTGTGTGTGTGTGTGTGTGTGTGTGTGTGTGTGTGTGTGTGTTGTGTGTGTGATGCACACGTGTGCAATCCCTCCCCTCCAAAGCCTTACTACTTTTCTTTTTTTAATTACAAGAGGACAATGGCAGTATCAGGTGAGGAGGACAGTAACAAAAACACATGCCTGACCCAAGTGCTGCCTTTCAAGTTACCCAAATTCCTGAACTGCTTGGGGTTTCCTGTGCTTCTCAGGGCCCCTCTTCTGCAGCAAACATTCCGAGGCTAGATTCCTCCCTCACAAAAGCCCTAGCCTCCCACAGCCTCCCTCCTTTGTATCCGGGGGCCCCTGTGGAGCCAGCTCTGTAGCTGGACACTAGCTTCTCTGCATGACAAAGGCCTTCTGGGCCTCTCAGATTCTGGACTAGAGCAGGAGCCCTCAACGGCTTTGGTAGGCAGGGGCATTCTGGGAGAAGATCAAAGGCCTGTTGGGGAGCCAGTGCCCCACAAAGGACTGCCCTACAGCTTTGTCCCCTAGGAGTCTGAAAGGAGCGACCATTGCTAGCTTCCATGGGGATGAATGCCTGGCCTGCTTGGGACCTGTGAGGAGGGAATAAGTGTTCTGCTCACCCTACCTTGTGAAAGTCAAGGAGTAAGAGGAAGTGGCTTGAGAGTGGGTGCCAACTGAGGTGTCAGACCAGCCTCTCCCCACAAAAGTCCCCACTGCCAGGAAAGCCCAGTCTTTAGGACTCCGGTGGCCCTAGGAAGACAATCAGTCAGTCCCTCAGTGAGAGACTGCTATCCCTTGTGCAAAGGAGAGAGGGAGAAGATAATGAGCCCTAGGGTGGGAAGCTACCTCCCCTTCACCCCAGCTTCTAGCCTCTGGTTTTTAGCTTCTCCAGGGAGGGTGACTGATGGAGTCACCAATCTGCTGACTTATCTGAGGATTAGCTCTGGTGATTGGCACTGTCTGCCAGGGCACTTGGCAAACCATGAGGTTCTTGTGTTGGTTTTTCCAGCACCATCTTGGGAACCAAGACATTCTTCAAGAAAGCAGAAGGAAGAGCTGGCTGTAGGCCTCTCCTGCAGGCCTCTGCAGAGTAAGAGAGGAGGCAACAGTGGAGAGAGTGGGGCCATGATGACCACTAGGGCCAGGGCTCTGCTGTGTGGTCTGGTGTTCATTCCCTACCTTCTGTGACCTGTATGTGGCTTGAACACCAGCCCTGGCAGGGCTGAGCAATGCTATGCCCCGGGCCCCTCAGGAGAAGCCTGACCCCCCACTCTTCCTTCAGGTGTGAGGTCACCTGATAATCATTCCCTGGACTCCAAAACCTGTCACACTGTGCTGCCATGATCTGCCTGTCCTCCCCTTAGACTGTGCAAGGCACAGTGTGCATTCTTCTTTGTATCCCGAGCCCTAGAGAGGTCTGTGTGTCTTGAGTCTTACCCATGCTTCAGTCAGTCAAGTGTTTGCCATGCAAGGGTAAGGATTCACGTTGAAATGTTGAGCATGCTGGTATACCTTTTACCCCAGGTACAGGATCCCTGGGGCTTGCTGGCCAGTTAGCCTACCTGAATTGGGGAGGCCCAGGTTCAGGGTGAAAGCCAGTTTCAAAAGAATAAGGTGGAAAAGTGTTGGAGAGAGATACAGATGGCAACCTCTTGGCCTTCATATGCACGTCCACACACAAGTACACATGCATGCCACACAAGATTATCTGTTCCTTCTGTTCTGACGTTTGTCACATTGGTGTCAGGGAGAACAGGATCCCTTCGTGGGGTTCTTGATCTCATTAATAAAATTAGTAAAATTTTAAGAGAAAGCCGAAAGACAACTTTATCGGAGTTGGGCAGTGGTGGCTCAAGCTTTTAATCCCAACACTTGGGAGGTAGTCCCTGGTGGATCCCTGAGTTCGAGGCCAGCCTGGTCTACAGAGAAAGTTCCAGGACAGCCAGGGCTACACTGAGAAACCTTGCCCCAAAAATAAGTAAGTAAGTAAATAAATAAATAAATGGACTCAAAGTTGGTAGGAGGGTGAGTGGATCTGGCTTGACTTAGGGAGAGTCGTTGGAGGTGAATATTATCAAAACGCAGTGCATTGAATTTCAAAGAATGGATAACAATATTAAAAAGAAAAACAAAACAAAACCCAGGGCAGGCGAGCTGTAAATCTCAGCAGCATCTCATTAAAGGGATAATAACTCTGCCTGTCTCTTTAGCACGGCTTAAGCTGACCCTGCTTTGCTAGGAGTAGTCCTTGGCCAGCTCATATAGACTCTGACCCACTAAAGTGTGAGGTCTGCGAGCAGGCCAGAGATGCTTTCCTCTTGACTAGACGTTTCCCATAATGCCCTTACTGAAACAACCCGACCTCTTTCTAGCCTGTGAAGGTCATGCGCAGCAGCTCTCCTGTGGCCCCAGGCTGGAGTCTCAGCTTTGTAAGCCATTGTGACTGCAGACTTAATGTTCGTCTTCTGCAACACGCCGGGAGGCGACGGTGATGCGGTGCTCCTTTGGGGCACGTGCCCACGACGGGCACCTAGTATAGAGCTGCAGCTGGGCTCGCCCCCTCCCCCCACTGGCTTCTCCCGCTCCCTCCCACCCCCTAGCAAAGTCGTGTTTCTCTTCTTTTCAGTGGCTAGTGCAGCATTTTGCAAAAGCGTGACTCTGGAAGTATTTGCTGAAGGCTAAGGCTAAGGTTCTCCTCTTTCCCCACTGCCCCCCCCAAAGACTGTCTCAATATCAGTCTGGCTTCAGTTCTTAGCTCTTTTCAGCCACTGCCGAAGTGGCCTTTTGTTAATTCACTGCCTGTAGAACCCTTCAACGACTTGACTGCAGTGAAAAATGGATGATGTCCAGAAAACCCTCAGAGACACCTTTCCCGGGCTCATTCCAGCAGGTTGAGGTCCATGAACATCCTTCAGTCAGCTGTGCGGTGTGTCTTAGCTACACACATTGAGTTTGCTTTCCCTCAGCTTCTCCCGTGTCCTCCCCAGCACCAGCCCCTGCTCCAACCCCGTTTCTGCCTGGACGGCCACACATATATAACATCTCAGCCTCTTATCCGTGTGATGCTTTCAGTAGCTCTTTTCCCCAACTAGAAGGTCACCCAGCTCCTGGGAGTGTATGCTCACAGCCAAAAGGCCCATCTTTCTTTGGCTCTGCAGACACCGCACCTTGCAGATTGGTGCCGTGCCTCGGGAACAGAGACGGACTACTAGTACGTGTGCTCTGAAACTGAGGCCGATTGTGGCTTTCCCTCCAGCTGGTCCACAGTGCCTGCTAGTCAGAGGAGTGTGAGAAACGAGTTGTTGCGAGTGGCATTGTTTGGAGGCTGGTTCTTCAGCTGGGTCCTTGCTGCTGTGAAGTCCTTCCGCGCTTCTTTTGTAGAAGTATCCATTTTTCTGATCATAAAAGTAACCCATGACTGTTCTCAGAATGTGGGAACGTTATAGAAATGTGTGTCTCTGAGGGAACAAGTACTGTGCTCAGGTTCTTTCTTAGTGTCCCTTGACATGCTGCATTTAATTCCTCCTCCAAGACACCAGCCTCTTGGTGGGCACCGGTGGGATGGGGTGGCCCTTGATATTACCTGAATTCAGAGGGTGCTGGCTCCTCCACAGCCCATCGCATGAGTTCTGTAGTATCGGTAACTGGTGTCCTCAGCCCCTTGTCACTTTTACCCTCATCGCTGCCATTCTCTCTCCCATGAGCCACCTCCTTTCTTTACTTGGCATTCATTTTTCCCATGTGTCTCTGCTCCCTCCCAGGCTTTTCTCACTGTTTCTCTGGCAGCAGCCCATGCTCCATCCCCTGCTAGGGCCCTTTTCCTGAAGCACAGCCAATCCTATCCTCTCCCCAGCCTATCCCATGTCACAAATACTTCACCTGTCATCACAGGGTCCTCCTGGGACACACTTAGTGCCTGTATGTTGAGTTCCTGCAAGGCTCTGACCGTAGGGCTCATCTGGCAACTTGCTCAGGGTAGTCTCACCATTCAGAATGTTGCCTCACCCATCCTCTTCAAGACTTCTACCACTCTGAAGACTCATTCCAGTGTCCATCCTTAGCCAGTATCCTGATTGTCCTAGACACCTTTTCCCGCCTGTGAACCCCACTGGTTTGTCCTCCCTTATAAGCAGATATAATGATATTCGATGCTATATATGGGAAACAATATATTTATAGCTGGAGATATCTCAGTTTTTTCCTAACTAACACTATTTCAGTACACTATGATTTAGGTTCAGCTTCTATCAGGAGTCCAGAATGTAAATACTTAAAAAAAATTTTTTTGTGGTTATGAGATTTGAACCTAGGTCGTCATTCCTGCTAGGTAAATGCTCTATCATTGAGGTACACCACCGGTCTTCTCTAAACTTTTTATTTTGAGACAGAGTCTCAGTTGCTCAGACTGGCCTTTTACTTGCTCTGTAGCCTAGGCAGACTTTTAACTTGAGATCCTCATGACTCAGCTCCCTGAGTAGCTGGGATAATAGGCTTGTACTACAAAAGCCTCATGCGTATGAGGTTTCTGCAGTTTCTGGAACACAGTGCTAAAAAGCAACAGCCCAAGGTCGACATTGGGAGTCTTCTTGAGTACTCTCCACTTGATTCATGGCAACAGGGGCTCTCGATTGAACCCAGAGCTCACTGATGCAGGTTAGTCTAGCTAGGTGGCTTGCTCTAGGATCTCCTGTTTCCACCTTCTGAGTGCAGGCACCATACCCACCTGGTATTTACATGGGTTTGGGGGATCTGAACTCTGGTCCTCAGGCTTCTGCAGCAAGTTCTTTATCCACCAAGTGATCTCCCCAGTGCCTGGAATTTTTATTTATTTGTTGGATTGGTTGGATTTTCGTTTGAGTTTGAGTTTGTTTTTAAGAAAGGGTTGCTCACTGGCCTGGAGCTTGCCAGACAGGCAAGGCTGGCCGGCCAGCACCCAGGATCTATCTGTCACCAAGTTCCTCGCTCTGTACTTACCAGCTCAGGTCACCATCTTGCCTTTTTGCTTGGTCCTGGGATCAGACTCAGGTCCTCAGGCTTGCAAGGCAACCACTTTCCTGAGGCAGCCCAGCCCTCCTGACATGCAGACATCTGTCACCTTCTGAGCAGGATTCTGAAGCCCTGGCCTCTTCAGAGAAGAAGGTTACAAGGGAATTAGAAGCCAATTCAGCGAGGCTCAGGCAGCACCAGGAAATGGGAGGTGTGTTCACTGCATCCAGGAAATTTTAGTTGACTGTTCATTGTGGGTTCTGGTTGACTGGATACAGGATCTGGTGTAAACAGGTGAAGCTGCATGACATTTTAGATGGTCCTCTCCTCCACTGTATTCACTGGGTGCCTACCTAAAGCTATTCCTGGAGGCTGAACTGTTCCTCCCTCCCTCCCTTTCCATCTGAGGAGAAGCTTCTGGCCACTGTCTGTTACCTTTCCTCAGTCACATTGCTGCTTTCTCTCTCTTGCAGCCAGGAGGCATTCCAGGGTCCGGCCTAAGGTGACAGTCCTGAACTATGCCTCTCTGATGAGCTCGGTTGGCCGGGAGATGGTCCTGACTCCACTAACAGAGCAGGAAGGAGAGGCGTACCTGGAGAAATGTGGCAGCGTTCGGCGGCACACGGTGGCCAACGCCCACTCGGACATCCAGCTGCTGGCCATGGCCACCATGATGCACTCAGGGTTGGGGGAGGAGGCTGGCAGTGAGGACAAGCACCTGCTCTTGCCACCCAGTTTCCCACCACCACACCGCCAGTGCTCCAGTGAGCCCAGCATCCTGGATAGCCCTGATGAACTGGAACTAGAAGATGTGGCGAGTGGCAGCCAGGAGGACTCAGGGATGAACTGTGCGTCCCTCAGCTGAGCTGACTCTTCCAGGGTTTCCCCATGCCTACTTTGTAGCCAGCATGAGGACTATGTGGGTGTTTCTCCTCTACAGATCACCACGGGGCTCTTGCTCTGAGCGACACTGCCTTGTATTTCTTAGGGTACAAGCCAAGTCTCCAGGCCCCCAGGAAACACTGTAAGCCTCCCCACTCTGGTGTCAACTAGCTCCTCATGCCACGGTTCTCCTGATGTCCAGCCTCCCCTGCTTCACCTGGAACCTCATCTCTGGGCCTTTCCCATCATCCTATTGGACTGGCATTACCATAGCAGAAGGTTGGACTACACATGAGCATCTAGAATGTGGCGGCCTTTGCAGTTCCCCTAAAGATCCTATGAAGCAGAAGCCAAGAATAGTAGTGGAAAGAATAGTAGAGGTTCTGTATAGCATGGAAGTCAACTGTAGCCTGTGCCACACATGGCCCTGGGAATGTGTCCTCATCACTTTAATTGCAGTTGAAAGCATTATCTGACTTGTGAGTGAGGGTCCATCATCCCTACGTATGTCCAGATGTCATGTGCTGTCTACATGAAGGGATTTGCCTAGGAGAATCTACCAGGCTGGTGCAGTCCTATCTTGCATTCAGCCTCAGCATGTCCCTCTCAGACTCCACGAGTGAACCTTCTCAGTCACAGGTGCCTTATTCCTGCTCTAGTTTCAGGAACTGACCACTTTCCTGTTGTGTATATGAGAGACTGGCTGACAACAACTAACCTAGTCTGTACCTGGATTTCACTTGAATTTGTAAAATGTGTATTGTTCAGAAAAACAACGTTTGCAAATATTTGCACATAGGACCTTGCACTGTTCATTTCCAGTGGAGAGTGTTTGCAGACTAAACACAAGAGGACCCCTTCAAAAGGTGATGAAATAGCTGAGAACACGAGGTAGTTGGCAGGACTCACATACCTCAGAGCTCTGGGGGAGCCAGAGCTGTCTGGAATGGCCGGTATTTGTGGGACGGCTATGCTGGAGTCAGGAGCCTGCCTCTTGAGCAGAGACGTGTAGTGACTGGAATGCATCTGTGCTTTACATGGACAGAGAGAGATGGGCATGTGGATAAATTTTATCTTGAGGGATGTTTATTCCTTGAGATTACAGAAGTATCCAGAAATGTCTGGGATTCCTGTCACATCCATCTCATGATGCTGTTTGCAGCAGCAGGCTTTGTTACTGTGTGTGCTAGGTCCTTCCTAGTGGTCCCTTCAGATTGGGGAAGGGGAACTTCTTTTTGTCTAAGTTGAATCCCTGGCTTCCTGTTTGTAGTTGTCTATTGGTCTTGTCAATAGAAGCTGAGAAAAACATAGAAAGTTTCTCCTGATCCTGCTGTTGGTGTGTGAGGGCCTCTCAGGATCCGATAAGTCTTTGGAAGTTTGGTTGATGGAATCTTGATACATAAGCTACCAACAGAAAAAGAGGCCACTCACTTTCATCCAAGCCTTGAAAGTGTCTCCCTTCTGAGCAAAGATGTGAAATACCACCACAGCTGTGCTTTGATGGGTTCTGCTTTAGAAATCTAATTTTTAAAAATGTTCAGTCTTGTCCTTCCAAAAGAAAATGACAAGAGAAATGTCACATACCTGTGCTCATGCACTTGTACACACACATGCACCAATACATGTACACACAATGTGTGAACCCATATATGTGTGTGTGCGCGCGCGCACACGCGCGCGCACACACACACACACACACACACACACCTCATACACAAAGAGAAATGTTCAAATTCCTTTGAGAATTTCAATCAAAAATGAATCTTTCTGTCTGTGGTGTCTAAAGTCTACAAGTTGGGGACTGGAGACATGGCTAGGTTCTCAAGGACTTTCTGCTCTTACAGAAGACCAGAAGACGTGGGTCAGTCCTGAGCACCTGCATCACAACTGCCTTGAACTCCAGTCCCAGGGGATCTGATGCCTCTTCTCTCTTCTTAGGGCACCTGCATGCATGTCCTCCATAAGTTAATTAACATGTGTTTGTGGGCAGAACATTGCAGTTAACTGGTGGCTGGGTCCTTGTTAGTACATCAAACACACACTTGATATTATTTGTTGATCCAAGCAAAGTAATTAATTAGTCATGTCTGGGTTTGTTGTTTTCATTGATAAGATTAACAGTGCATATTTTAAGTATGCTGTTTTCCTTATCTTGGTTGTCTCCATCGAGGACAACAGCTGTCAGTATAATACATGAACTCTTGTATTGAAAGTGTACAGACTGTCAAACTCCATTGCTGCTGACTTTAAACAGTTTACAAGTTTCTCTTTGGACACACCTGGTATTAGTCCAGAAATATCTCAGACTGTATACGTCAACGTTTTATGGCATTTGTGGGCTTTGGCCATCAGACTATTGCAAGAGTGTTTTAACCAGGTTTCCTCCTCCTGGTGCCAGGGAGATTCATCTTGTTGTCTATGCCCAGGGTTTACCTAGGTTGAAGTTTAGTGACAGTAATCCCAGCTCTGGACTCTGAGTGAACTCACAAGCTGAACTCCTGTCTTACTGTCTGTTTCCAAAATAGATACAATAAACATTGCTTTGTTTGTGTCTTGGGTGCTACCATGCGAGTGCTCCACGTGTTTTGATTGAATTTAGCATTCTACTCTCAAAACTCCCCTCACTGCCTGTGTGTGGCCTGCTCTATCGTCCTGTTGCCTCCTCTCCAGAGCCCTTGGTTTCATCGGCCATCCTAGACAGGGTAGGCAGGTTTTTCTGGAGCAGCATCTCATCTGTAGAATTCAGAAACGACTGAAAAAAGGCCTTCTAGAGGTTTTCCTTGCAGAGTGTTTGACCTAGAGGGAATGCTTATTGTATTATATTTAGTTATGGGTTCCTTGAGTATTCCTTTCTGATTCTATTTGACAGAAGACATTTATAATGCTTTACTCTCTGCATAAATACTTTTAGAAGGGCAGTATTAGTTTGAAGCCTCAGAAGACTTACTGAAAGTGCAGAGATGCCGTCTCCGCTGATTAATTACACTATAGTTGTACTGGTACATGGTCATAGGGCAGCCCTCCTACCTCAGTGATGAAGTAAGGCCATAGCAGAGCAATAGGGACAGTTTCTGGAAGCTGCATAGGCAAGGAACATTGTACCTGGGAGCTCCCTGAAAGTAACACAGCTCTGACACCTTGATTCTAATCCAGTGAGAACCATTCAGACTTCTAAGTTGCAAAACTATGAGATTAACAGTGTATTGGTTTATAGTCACTGACACATCCGTGGCACGATTTACGTGCCAAGTTAACCGTTATCCTCGGGGTGAGCTTCCACTGCATAAGCGCTTTTCTTGGTGACAGAAAAATGACCCAGGTGGCTGCTTCTTTGGAGACTGGAGTGATTGGAACCTAAACCCCAATTCTAGTGTTTTGGCATCTTGCTCCAGGAGAGAAAAGGAAGAACACAGCAGCCAAGCCTGGAGCTTACCAGTACCCGCTCTGAGGTGAGTGACGGTTTTGTGGTTTCCAGAGACCTCGGAAGGACTGACCTCTTCCAGAGGACGTGGACAAGAGCTGGGCAAGGAGCGGCCAGTGTCCTAGGTAGAACAGACCTGTGTACTTTGCCCCTCTCTTCCATATTACTTGTTTACGTGTAGCTTTAAAACAGTACTTCGTAAATGTAACAATTATGAATTTAACAAATGTTACCTGCCATTAGTGCCAATAAGCAAGTTCAAAATCCCTTTTTAGGCTTTTGCATTTGGATGACAGATTTGATTATTCTATTTATAAGTCTGGCAGATTTTAGCAATAACTTCCAAGCAGCCTTTGAATAATGCTTAGTCCTGTTTATGAGCTCAGTCCAGCACTTCACGCACCTTTAAGTGAATGTACAGATTTAATCTCCCTCCTTTAAATACCTCTGGTTTGATTTTTGGCAGTAAGCAGAGGCATCCTGTACCATGGAAGCTAATAAACTGAGCTTAAGAGGAAAACTGGAAGTTCATTAAGCCAGTTTATTCTACGCTATGTAAACTTAGATGCCACCATAAAAAAGTCACAAGTCTGAAGTCAATTCTCAATTGCATATTTTAAAGTGGACTTACAAAACTGTCACTAGTGGGCTTTATTCTATTAAATGTGTTTGTCAAAAGTATCTGCTACATACGATCCCCTTCTTAACCCCAAAATAGTAATGCGTGCTCCTGAGCACCTCTTCAGAGCATAAAGTCCAGCTTTCATGGCCCCTCTATCCTGTGCTATGTCAGCAACTCTCTGGTTTGCCTCACTGTAGCGTGGTGGCTGATGCCTGGAGTTGCCACTTGTGAGATTCCACGCCATTCCATCTTTGCTGTTTTATTTCCTCAAAATCTTACACTTAAACTCTGTGCTAAAATAACAGATGTGGAGGTTAGAGAGAGGGTTCAGCAGTTAATCTTAAATGTGCTTCTTCATCTTTCTGAGTGTCTGCGTGTGGTTGCCAGAACTCACGTTAGGCAGCGTTCAGCCAACTGCAAATCAAGCTCCAAGGGATTTCATACCGTCTTCTGGCCTCTGTGGGTATCCACCCACATGGTATGTGAGCGCGTGTACACACACACACACACACACACACACACACACACACACACCCTCATATAAATAAATAAATTAGTAAAATGACAGTTGTGACTTTTGTTCCCTGATAGACCCTGCCTGATGAACCAGGACTGAAAAAGAAATTCCCTAGAGAAAACAACAGTGTTTCCAGGTAACCAAGGTTACTCACTTGGGTGTGGACAGAGCTGGAGACACCTGAGAGATTTGTTTCACTCCACGTAAGGACCCTGCTATAATCTTACATTACAATGTGAGTGACTGTTCCTCAACATTCTTGAGTTACAGGTAAAGCACAGGTGACATCCATCTGTTCCCAAGAAACAGTGGGTTCTATTTATGGCTCCTCAATCTAATAGCTTCATACTTGAGAAATATTCTTGTTGGCCTTGTTCATGTAGCATTCAACTGCCTAACTCTTCAGAATGCCTTTCTCACATATCACTTGTTAGGTTGGTTTTTTTTTTTTTTTTTTACTTTGTTTGGCTTCTTGAGCTCAGTTTACTGACCTTTGAAAAGAATTCTAAAGCAATATGAATACCTTCTTCAGTTGAGCTTCAGTAGACCCTGAATGCCTAAATTCTTTCATATTCTCAAGACCTCGTCATTCTTAGCAAATCCAGACACTTGTTAAAATATCTTAGACAGCTTTGCTGTTGTCTGTAACATCATTCCATTTTCTGCAGACTGATGTAGGATCAAGTCTACTTGTCTGCCAAGAAAAACACTTTCCACCTACTTGAGCAATTTTGAGACCGACTCAACAAATAGAAACAGCATAAGGCTTTTGCTTCTTCACATGGGGGGGGGGCGGGAGGCTTGTGTCAGATTATTTCTCTGCCAAAGCTAGTGATGGGAAAAAAAAAGGATAAAGCAAATGTTTGAAAGAATTGTCAATGTCTTAGTCCAGGTGGGATCTGAGAAGGTCTGGTTACTGAGAGAGTGCAATGGTGTGAGACAAGCTCAGCCTGGTTCCCCCCCCCCCCAACAAACTTAGGGGTGACAGCCGGAAGCAGCAGGCTCTGGATTGAGATGAAAAGCTGTGGGGAGTTGGAGCTGGAAGATAAAGTGATAGAAATGGGTGACTAAAATCCACAGACAAGGTCTCCTTTGAATTGTTGGCTGACTCCTAGGTAGAGAATATGCTAAGTATCTCCTAAAGGCTGAATGTTGACTTGATCATTAGCCCCTAGATCTATTGGAAGACAGGGAACCACGAGGAGGTGGGATCTAGCAGAAGGATTTTGGATCCTTGGGGGTTATGCCCTTGAATGGGAAATTGGGACTTCAGCCTCTTTATCTTTCATTTTGCTTCCAAGCTACCATTAACTGAGAAACTTTGGTCCTGCCAGGTTCTTCCACTGTGTACCACTCACCACAGGATCCAAAACAATAAAGCCAAGTGACCACATGCTGAAGCTTCTAGAGTATGAGCCAAGACAAACTTTCTCCCTTCACCTCAGCTATTTTGTCGTCACAATGGGAAAATAGCAGTGTACCCAAAACTACCAGGTCTAGCTGAAGGGAAAACAGCAGCTACCATGCTTAACAGAATGAATTCATTTTGATTCCCACATAATGTTGAGGAGATTCAGGCCCTACCAAAGCTGGGGGCTTTGGCATGCATTCTCAGATTGATTGAGTCTCATTCTAAGATAGGACCATGGCCAAAACAATATTCTTTAGTTGAACACAACTATATAATTACCTTAAATGTAAATAAATGAACTAAGCAAGTCAATGGAGAAGCAAAAAGGGTCAAAGTAGAGTAAAATAATAACATTTTGTTTACAAAAGATACACAATTTATTATTTATTTACTTATTTTGAGACAGTCTCCCTATGCAGTTTTGGCTGTCCTGGAACTCACTGTATAGACCAGGCTGGCCTTGAACTTACAGAGATATGCCTGCCTCTGTCTCTTGAGTGCTGGAACTAAAAGTGTGTGTCACCATGTCCAATAAGAGACACACTTTAAATATTAAGAAACAGGCTAATGGTACAATGATGGATGTATAGCATGTACAAATAAGGTAGCAAGAGAAACTTGATGTTGCCAATTAGAAGAATGCAAATTTCATAGTGATAAATGGTGAATTCAAAAGGAAGATATGAATCATAATACACAGATCAGCATTTATTAGTCATCAGCTATAGGTAAAAAACCATTATAAGTATTATGCGTTAGTTGTTTTGTGTGGGTCCTCTGAGTAATTTTATGAAGCAAATTTTAGTATCCCAGTCTTATTGATGAGGCTAAAGCCTCAATTCCTAAGGTCACATAGCTAGACAAAGGTACAGACATGATTCAAATCTGGCTTTGTCTGAGTTCCTGTGCTTTTAGCCATAGTATCAAGACAGTATGTCCTGTAAAGACATGCAGGTCAACGGAAACAGAATAGAGATGAGAAGTGTTTGTATTTATAGTCAATGCTTCTTCTTGTTGGATTGTTTTTATAAATGTGCAAGACAGTTGACTAGAGAACTTAAATTAACAACTCATGGTTGTTGTTAATACCAGATACTCATGCAAAAAGGTGACTTAGACTTTTTCCAGCACCACACATATAAATGAACTCAACAGATAACAGGTTTTACATGAAGGCTAAAATGAAACATTTTAGAAGAGAACAGGAGAAAATATTTGAAACAGCGAGTTAAGCAAAAAGTCCTTCCAGTCTATAAAGAAACACATCATTAAACTTCATTAAATTTTTTTTTTTTTTTTTTTTTTACGAGACAGGGTTTCTCTGTATTGTTTTGGAGGCTATCGGTCCAGCCCGGCCTCGAACTCACAGAGATCCGCCTGCCTCTGCCTCCGGAGTGCTGGGATTAAAGGTGTGTGCCACCACCGCCCGGCTAAACTTCATTAAAATTATTAAGAAGAAAATCGACAGTTCAAAAACACCACCAAGACAATGGACTAGAGGGAAATACTTGTAACACATGTATTTGTCAAGACTTGCAGCAAGACTTACACGCATTCTTAAAAGTAAGACAATAAATCCAATGGGGGAAAAA